ATTTTGAGAGTTTGTAAGTTAAATTTAACGAAAAATGGCCAACTTTATGAGTAAATCCTTCTGACTTGTTATTAATATCAACACGTTCGTTACTAATTGATCATAGTAAAAAAGTGATCGACAAGCTGCATATTTAATTAGTAAATCCATTAGACCCCTGATTCAGTGACTGATATATGATATAATTTAATCATATTTTCCACAGTTTATGCTGTATTTACTTTTATAATTCAAAAATATCTTACTTAAAAGTGTAAATGGCCATCTTTAAAAAGTTTATATATGAAGAAGTATATTTTAAGAATGACTATTGCATTAGGTAAGAAATTATTTGGACTATAGACTTGCGTCATTGTCAGTTCACTTAGGTAAATTTAAAACAGTAAAATAGAGAACTGGAAGCTCATTGTGGCCTCCACTCTAGTAGGTAGTCAGTTTAGCATGTTTTTTTTTGGTGAAGGTCTACTAATTCTGGAGAAGGAATTGGTTATGTCTTCCTTTGCAATACAAAACCAATATGTCTAGCGAGTTTACTCCCGAACCAAGTGCAAGAACGTCCTTCTCTATTTGTATTGTCAATTGTTTATCCACTTTAATTGGCAGCATTTAAGGAATTAGTTCTACCTTTATGGTCAATTGTTTTTCCATTATAATTGCCCATTATTTAGGTGAATAAATAGAGGGAGAACTTGAAAGTGCTTCGTGGTCTCGTTTTAACGAGAACGTCCTTCTCTTTTTTGTTTATTTATCTATTTAGTGGCTTGCTTAGATTTATCTAGCCATATTTTAAAATTTTTAATTATTAGGTAACTAACGCAAATTTTTGCATATTCTCCTAAATCATCACCTTCAGGTGGTAGAATAAAAAATTTTAAATAATATCGTAAATTTTTACGACGTAATTTAATATCCAAGAGCACACCGATAATTTTTGTGATTATATGAGTGAATTAAGTGTAATAATTTATGAATGTGGCGGATGACCTCGAAAATTCAGATTAACAATAAAAAGGAAAACCAAAAATTTCAATTTTTTTGGAGAATTTTCATTTTGGCCATGTGAATCTTACGCAAAATGCTTGTTTATAATCATCTGATTCTAGTCTTTGTGAATTGTTACACCATTCATTATTTTAGTAAGTATTTGGGGCATTATTAAGATGGCAGGAAATTTTCCAGATTTATGCTTCAAACATTTGAATGATGATTTTAAAACTTTGTATTCTTGCACATTTGTTAATAAACGATGGAGTAACTCGTCTATTCCAGTATTATGGGCAAATCCGTTCAAGCTGATCAGTTCATTTAAAAAACAAAACCTTTATTAGATACCTATCTTTCTTTTTTACTTCAAAGTCAATCATAAAAACTTGAAATCAAACCAAGATTTAATCGAAATACCATGACCTTCAATTATCCTGTATACTTTCGTCATATTGATTGTTTGGTGATATAGAAACGTTCAAATACGAATATCATGTACTTTACAAAAAGAAATTTCAGCATTGGTTGAATATTTCTTTATTCTTTCTTTAAAATTGACACACTCGTTATTCGTAATTTTGATTATTTTGACATCTTAAACCTTTTCTGGCTCTACAAAAATGTGTCTTTCAAAAGTTCACACTAATTATCGATCATGATATTTTCCATTAATTTTCAACTTTATCAAGTTTAAATCAAAATATCAGATCGTTCGTTATCATGCTACATTGAACCTCCTCATCTCGGGTTAATTGATAGACAACTTATTCGATCTCTAAAAAAATTTAATTGATATTAACCTAACGGAGGAGAAAAATTCTTTCCGATGGATGTATTGGGAAACATTTCATTCTTCAATAAATGTTACATCGACAATTACTTTTATAGAATTTGAAGGTATCCAATTTCCTCAGAATTTTTCTTTAATTTATCATTTATCTTCATTTATCAATCTCACATTTAATGGTTGTGATTATTTGGGTATTTATTTCTTTTAAAAAGGTAATATCATTATTGAAACTCCTCTACCATAAGGTTATTAAAGATCCTTTTACAGTTATCAGGTGAAGAATTGAAATGTTTGGAATTATTGGATATGAGAATCGCTAAATTTAATTATAATATAAAATGGTTGGAAGAAATTAAGATTGGTGGTTATAGATCTGAAGATAGCGAGAATTCAAGATTTTTTCAAAAATTTGATAATCTGCCGTATGTATTATTAATGGAGAAAAATTTATACAAAAAATTTAAAGCCTCAAAATTTTTTTTTCGATGTCCGACATTATCCCGAAGGCCGTTTTCCTGAATGGACATTTTCCCAAAAACCTCGGGCAGAGTTATCATAATGTAGGTCAACCTTTTCGGAAAAACGTCCATTCGGGATAACATACTCACCCATCGAAAAGTATTATTTTTATTATTTTTTTTTAAAAAAAATTAAATGGATTGAAATGATTTGATTAAATACTTTGACAAACAACTCATTTCAACAAATTCAAGTCGATTCACTATATGAGAGTATTTTCTAATAAGCTTTTTTAAAATAAAAAAATATTTTAAATATTTATTTGAAAAAATTAATATTTTTAGGCGCATTTCGAAGGTGTGTGTCAAAGATCCTTTGCCATTAGTTTAATACAGTATTATTATTTCATTTGATATGTATGCAACAATTATTTAAGATTAATTAATTGAATTTGATACGATAAAATTTGTTAGGATATTGAAATGATTGTCAATGGATGGTTTCATATTAAATGAATAAATGTATGTATAATATTAAACATTTATTTATAATAATTAAAGTGAGGTGGGTATACCTTTTGTCATTCTAAAGGGAAGTTATTGATCAAGTATTCGAAATATAACTTAGATTCAAGGAGTATTAGGCTATTCTGAAATAAATGCATTTAATATTTATTATTGTTAGATTGACATGAAATGAATAAGCTGAATATATTATTAAAAATATCCTCCTTTAAAAAGGTGAATTGTAGGAAAAGATGTTTAAATAACTATTTATAATAAATAAGAAACCAACCAAATATTCAAAAATACCCATTTTTTTCATACAATATGTCAAAAAAAAAAATTTTTTAATCAGCCAATACTTATTCTAAAAAGGATCGATAATACCAACTTCTTTAATTATTCCCTATATATATATATATATAACACTCAACAATATGATATTACAAGGATAAATCATTCTAATTCATTCATTTCTTTTTTAAATTTTTAATATTATTCTTATAATTTATTTTTTTTATGGTACCACGTATTTCTTCAAATATGACACATTGCAGCATTACATAACTCATAACAATCAAAATACTAGAATAATAATAAAAAAAGTATTCTTATTATTGTTTCAATGACAAATAAATAGATATAATTTTTTGAACTCACCTGTTCCTCAGTAAATAATCCCAAGGATTCACAAAATAATAGATAAATGATATTCTATCAAATGCAAAAGTATGAATAGAATTTTACATTTTCCATTCTTGTGCTGTAGGATTCAATAATAATTGATCATCTTTATTTATAACGCAAGAAACAGCTACTACGAGATCTTTCATTGGAATTCCTGCATCGATTAAAGCAATCATAGTTGTATTTATTGCAGCTGCCATGATCTAATCAAGCAAGGGATCAAAATAAGTAAAAAATGATACAACACTTTTATAATATCAAAAAAAGTAAAGTAACATATATTTACACTTTCATTATCTATCATTACTTATGAAACAATTTGAATTTGTGTCCTTAGGTGTAATCTAACTTGAATAACATTCTCAAATGTTGAACGTAAATATATTCATGAGTTTTATTCTTTGTCCCTACATTTTTAATAATTGTTGATTGAGATTTTAAATTAGAATAACATAATTCAAATTCAATTTATCTATTGTGCCAACTAAAGGTCTAACATAAATAGTAGTTTTATCTAATTTTTGTCTTGTAATTTAACTTTAGCTGGACCATTTATTGAATAAAGTACAGAAAAATTATCTAAAGATAATGATCATTAAACTTAAAAATGAAACTATGTTAAAGATATAAACAAAGAGAATTACTGAAATTAAATCTAGCAGAACTATCTCTTTTAAGGAGACTTTGATCAATTGAAATAGGATGAAGTGTAGTAGAAAAGCATCTATCAATTCGCATTACTATTATGTAGAAATTTATCATCATTATCATGTGTTTTCAGGATCAATGAAAATTCATAACTTTTAAATTAAAATTAAAATGAGTTCTTTCAACAAACCAATCAAATGAAAATTCTACAAGAAACACGTTTATCACTATATAATAGATAATTATTAATTTCTACTGACTATTATTTGATAATATCCTTTTAATTAAATTTAACAACTTGAAAATTATTAGTTATTTCTTGACTTTTATAGAATTATTTTTAAACATATTCTTGATAGAATTATTAATAAAAGAGGATCAACATACAGAGTATGCTCAATTACTTTTTAGTACAAGAAAGTATTTGGACATTATGTTTTGTTAATTATGGCAGAAGAGAGAGAGAACCAAAATATTTTATAATGGGATTACCTTAGTTATCAAATGACATTGATAATAGTGATGTTGATGATGATGACAATACCATTGAATTAGAAAAGAAAATGTTAATTGCATGACATTATAAAGGATTTAAAAAATTTGAATTAAGTGTAAAAAGTAAATCCCTTATTTTAAATAAACAAATTTCAAGTAATGAAATAAACTCTTATCAAATTGAAAAACCATTTTGTTCAACTTTTGATTTAACAAAATTAATTCCTCAGAATATTATGGATAATGCATTAATAATATTAATTAATGTAAATAAATTAAGTGAGAATTCATATTATATGCTTTTAGATAGAATACGCAGTGTTATTGAAGAAAATCATTTGAATTCTTTATTAGTACTACCTTCAAATATTGAAAGAAATAATGCGATTAGGATCGGAATACATTCAATTACCTCACCATTATGGCAATTAAGATCATCACATGTAAGTTGTTAATTATATGTGTAAACTTTTCTTAGACAACATTAATGTAGATTTATTCATTTTTGTTCTTTAGGATATTTTTGCATTCTTACATGCTTTACGTGATTTATTAAGATTTTCTTTCAATGCAGTTATTATTACAATTTTGGCTTATCTATATTTATCATCCTCTTCAAACTGTGTTCGTTCATTAGAAGAATTGAATATATGTGTGATGCAGTTGTCGAAGTTGAATCATTTGCAGGTATATATTGTAATCTTTTCCCTTCTCTCTTTCTTTTTATTGTTAAAATTTATCTGAAATTTCAGTTAGGATCCCCTGCAACTAATAATGCAATTTATAGTACCATATATTATGGATTATTCCACCTTCATAAATTACCAACTCTTAATTCGCTCATACCATCATCTACAAAATTATCAGTATTATCAAGTGATAGTAAAAATAATCTAGGATTTAAATTACGTCGTAAAAATTTACTATTGAAACTTTTTATTTACTATCTGAAGGTAGTATTAATGAACAATGTATTAGTTCTGAAATGAATAAGTCTGTGAAGAAGAAGGAAGAGGATGATAAAAGTAAACTAGCTATTGGTAGTAGATGTGTTACTATATTAGGAAGAAAAGTTGATCTATATGATTTCTAATTTAAAAGAATTATTTTTATATTCGATTTATTTAGCAACACAGGTAAAACTTAAACATTGCAATTATTTTATAAAAAAAAAGGATTAAATAAATTAATAATTATAATATTTTTTGATCAGGTTCATTTTCTTTATATAAAGAACTGACTGAATAAATAATAAATTTAAAAATTTGTAAATATAGATAAAATTGTATATATGTAATATCAATTCAGAATTTTTTTTTTAAAAAAACTTTTAAAATATAATTAATTCAAAAACTATTGAAATAAGAGAAAGAAATTATTTGCCATCTGCAAAAATTTTCTGTTCATTACCTAATAATTTAAAATTAAAAAAATGAATTAGAAAATCTAAGCAAGCTATTAAATAGATAAATAAATAAAAAAGAGAAGGATGTTCTTGTTAGAGGCCATAAAGCGATTCCAGTTCTCCTTTCATTCATTCACCTAAATAATAGACAATTATAATAGAAAAATATTTGACCATAAAGGTAGAACTATTTTCTTAAATGCTGTTAATTAAAGTGGATAAACATTGACAATACAAATAGAGGAGGATGTTCTCACACTTAGTTTAGAAGTAATTCACTAGACATATTGATTTTGTATTACAAAAGAAGATATAACCAATTTCTTCTTGAGAATTAGTAGACCTTCACCAAAAACAAACATTCTAAACTAACTATTACCAGAGAGAAGGTTATAAAAAGCTTCTGATTCTTTATCATACTGTTTTCAATTTATCTAAATGAACCAACAATGATGCAAGTTTAATAAACTAGTTTGCCTAAAACAATTTCTTATCTAATGCAATTAATAATCATTCCTTTTTAAAATAAATTCTTTTGTTTTTGTTATTAGTTGACATGTTAGAATAGAAAAAATATTTTCAGTTACGGAAATTTCTTCACGTTTGTTACCTTATATTTTAAAATTAAAAAAAAAGGATTAGATAAATCTAAGTAAGCTACTAAATAGATAAATAAACAAAAAAGAGAAGGACATTCTCGTTAGAGGCCATGAAATACTTTCAGTTTTTCTTCTATTTATTCACCTAAATAATAGGCAATTATAATAAAAAATATTTGATCATAAAGGTAGAACTATTTCCTTAAACTTTGCTGATTAAAGTAGATAATCATTGATAATACAAATAGAGGAGGATGTTATCACACTTAGTTCAAAAATAACTCACTAGATATATTGGTTTTTGTATTGTAAAGAAAAATATAACTAATTCCTTTTTGAGAATTAGTAGACTTTCACAAAAAACAAATATGCTAAACTGATTATCAACTAGAGAGAAGGCCACGAAAAGCTTTCAGTTCTCTACCATACTGTTTTCAATTTTATGTAAGTAAACTAATAATGATGCAAGTCTAATAGACTGTTCAACCAAAATAATTTCTTACCTAATACAATAGTCATTCTCTTCATATATAAACTTTTCAACTAGGATAATTTTCTATCTAATTATTAATTAAATACAAAAGTCAATATACATTATAAAATATGAATATATTAAGATTTAAAATATAAAAAAAATATTATTTTGAATATAAAAATAAGTCAATTCTTATATTCCAAAATTTCATAAATAGTAGAATTTTTATTTTAAGACCTTTCACTATTTTTTTTAAATATATGAGACTAAAATAAGAATATAAGATATTATATCTAAAGAACAATAAAGTTCTTATACTAAAATAATATTAATTATAAGATATACTTTAAAAATAATTTATATCATATTTTTACTTATAAATGAAAGTATTGTAAATTTATTCTTTTTTTTTCTAAAGATTATTTAATATAACAAATCTATTTTATAAATTTTTGATAAATGTAATACATTTTAAGTTAAATAATTTAATCAAATTAAAGTTTTTAATATATAAAGCTTATTATCTCTCATTAAAGAAGTTTAATTTCAATTATCAATAATATCACAAATTTTTTAAAATTCAAACTGATTTTTAATTTTTCTATCTTCTTAACTATAATATTTTAAGTTATATCATTAAATAATTTTTATTTTTTGATTTTTTATTATATTAATTTTCATAAATGATCATCAAATTCATAATATAATATAAAGTTTATCTGATATATAATTTAAAGTAAGATCATATTAAAATTGAAGTCAATTGATGATTCTGTTAAATTTTTTTTAAAGCATTTATTTATTTGCTAATTATTTATTTAATTTGTTTATTTTTACATTAATTCTTATTTATCATATATTAAAAATAAAAATAATTAGATTAGTAGTGTTAAAATCTAAATAAATAAACACTTTGCAATAAAAAAGACAGAAACTGCCAAAAAAAATTTTTTCACTTTATAAGATAAATATTATTTTTTAGTAAAATAAGTTCAGATTTAACATTAATTCAAAAAAAATTTTTTTTGTAATTTCTGCTTTTTCTATTTTAAATAACAAGAAAATTTTAAACTGAAATAAAAATAACTTAAAATTTTAAAAAATATTATTAATAATTATTTTAGTATTATTTAATTCTTATAATTCTTTAATAAGTCTATTTGCAACAACTTTTAAAGTTGAATAATTTTCAGTTTTTAAAGATAAAACAGTAATATAATTATAATTCAATTCAAAAAATTTTGTTAGATTAGCTAATAGTGATATAGTAATCATTATATTATTAAATTACTCTGTCTATTGAATAAGTTAACTATATTTTAAAATCAAGAAGATAATAATTATAACTTAAATTTAATTAACTTTAAAATAATATAATTAAGAAGTTCGTTTAATTAAATAAAAATAAAGTTATATATTTTATATTTGCAAATATTATTGTTATTAAATATACATTAAATATAATATTAGAATCTATTCTTTATCTAAGACATTTTTATATCTTTTATATAAGAAAATTACAATTAAAGAAGATTAATGATAATAATTATAATTATAATACTATTGACAAAATAATAGTATTAATAGATATACTAATAATATTAATTATAAAATAAATAATAATAATAAATATAATAAAAATAATATGAATAATAAATATATTTTATTTGACAGTTATGTTAACTTTAACAGATTCTTTAATTTTTACCAGTTCAATTTCTTCTTTTAAATTTTAATCTCTAGACTAAATTAACATAGTTTTATTTATTAGAAATAGATAATTACTCTTTTTAATCAAGTAAATTTTAGAAAGATTTATATAATAAGTCTGTTGAATTTATTATACTCCTAAAAATTCACAGATAAAGTAAATTTATATAGGAAATAAAAAAAGAAAAATAAGATGAGATAGAGTGAAAAAAAATAAAAAAATTAATGTAAAAAAATGGAAAAGAAAAAAAATAAATCGATTAATAAATTGATTGATTTAAAACTAGTTTATTTATTCTTAAAAAGTAACTCATTTTTAACTTAAGTTAAGTTGAGTTTGAGTCAAGTTTAAATCAAGTCAAGTTAAATATTTAATTTGACTCAAACTTGATTTAACTCGCAAATTATTAAATTAAAAAAATAT